GCCGACAGCATAACCATCAACCCGCACAAAATGCTCGGCGTGCCCATGACATGTTCATTCCTTCTCGGCGGCGACATGAACACCTTCTACCGCGCACTTACGCTACCCGCTGGCTATCTCTTCCACAACGCACCTGGTACCGACGCAGCGGACATCTACGATCTTGCTGATCTAACACCTCAATGCGGTCGTCGCGCTGACTCGCTCAAGATGTTCTTAGCCCTTCAATACTACGGTGCGCAGCACTTCAGCGACTTGGTAGCCCGTGGGTACGAGAACGGAGAGTATCTTTTGAGCAAACTGAAGGAGAGCGGCAACTTCAAGACGATCAGTCCCGAGCCGCTACCGTGTCAGCAGGTGTGCTTTTACTATGCCAAAGGAGGAAACCTGGGGGATGAGGCGGACGACAATAGTAAGGCAACGACTGAGATTGCCAATAAACTTATCAGTAGGGGGTTCATGATTGACTTTGCCCCTGGGGAGAAGGGCAAGTTCTTCAGAGTCGTGGTTAATGGGGGGTTGATCAAGGGGACGCTAGATGGGCTCGTCAAGGCACTTGAAGAGACGGCGACAGATTTGGGGTATTAGATAGGTTGATATGACAATGGGAATTATGGAAGTCAGCAGAAGGCAGAAGAACAAAGATACCACATCTGGAGTCTATATGCTCCACACGTGAAGCATTAGGTATCACGTCGTCGAAAGTCATAAATGGGAGCCTTGTACAGGTAGCGCATACACAAGTCTGGTAAAATACTTGATCTGGAAGCATTCATTCATTTGGTATCATGTTATCTATGTTACATGACGCATGTTTTTCGTATCCATACCTGTAGGATGCCAACATCAGAAATGATCTTCCACGCACACTTGTGTAGCACTAGGCTGCAGGTACATCGGCAAGAAAAATGGCATAAGTGATGAGCGCGCAAACTTGCTTGTTGGAAGATGCATGTCGCAAGATGCAATCCGCGATATCCTTCCAACAATGTATGCTAGCTCCATTCAGCACGGCTAATCGATCACACCCCAATAACGCTCAGAGTTGAAGGTTGATGCAGAGTCTGCCTTCCAGCCCGAGTCGAAGGCGCTGAAAAGGAACATGTCGCTGTTGAAATTGGAGCGGATCGATTCAAGAGCGATACGCTGATTTTCGGGTGAGGGGATGGCCGCGCCATTGGCATTACCTTCGCGAGGCCAACCAGACTCAGTAACGACAACACGCTTGTTATCGCAGGCGGATTTCACACGCTCAACTTGGCCCTTGACAAATGTACCAGCATCCTGAGCCTTTGTGTTCCTGTCGAAGAAGGCGTGAATGTTGACCATGACCACATCTGCAGCTCCACAGATAGCAGGATTATCCATCATAGCAGGTGCAGTCTCGACTGCACCCACAAGTCCGTTGTAACCGAAGCTTTGTAGCTGATTGCGAGCACGACCAATGGCGTCAACGACTTGCGAGGATGTCATTCTGTGCTCGTTGACGCGCTCGTTCTCGACTGCGAAGAGTTGGAGAACATCCCAATTCCCGCCAGCATACTGATCGATAGCGCTCTTGTAGGTCTGAATGACCTGGTCAAGGTCTTCGCCGCCACCGCTGGTATCCAGAAATGCGCCACCCATGAGCTTTTGACCGTTTTTGATGGCGTTCTGAATTGCAAGCGGAATCTGGTTGCAGTCCATCCCGTATATTCGGATCACTTTGTAGTCCTTCATCTTACTGAATTCACTAGCGAGTTGATCCGCACTCTTGCAATTGGCAGACCCAGTGTAGGCATCCCAAGTTATGCCTAGAGGCAGGGTACCAGCAGCGGCCTCGTCGAAAGGAACATCATCAGCTGGAGCTGGTGGCTGAGGTACGGGCTCAGGCTCTTGTGTGGAAGCAGGCACTGCAGATGATACTTCAGAAGTGGTAGAAGGGGGCGCCTGTGTCGTAGTCGCATCCTGGGCACTGACAGCAGTAGGTTCCACTAGAGGTAAAACGAGTGTAGACGATGGCCATTCGAACGAGGTAAGTGAGGGAGCTGAACCTGAACTCGAAAGCACTGCCTCGGCTGTAGATGTGGCTACAGTTACGGAGGGAGAACTGGTGAGTACCGTCGAAGTTGTGGTCCAATAAGGCGCGCCCGCCTCGTCGACGTAGACAATAGCTTCGGCGATCGTCTCGGTGACGTATACCACCTCGGTAACGAGCATACGTTTGTGGTCTATAGCTTGTTACGAAAAGGACGCGCTGCTAATCGCTCTTGCAACTTACTGAGAGGGCGTCCGCTCACAGAGCTCACAAGAAGACTGGCAGCTGCCAGAGCGCTCGCTAGAACGATGGACTTCATGGCGATGATGAAGCGAGTGTTATAGAATGTCTGAGCTGTATATACAACGTAAAGGTGCTGTTTGTGGAAATGTTGTGGAGTGTTTGGGTGAGATTTGGTGAGTGAAGCGCAACGCAGGTATAGGTATGAGAAATGAGCGACTGACTGCCTGCAGTTGAAGGAATGGAAGAGAGTTGATTGCGAGAAGCCACGAGCCAAAGGCAACGGTAGAGACTGTATCCGGCGTGAAAGAGGAAGCGCAGCAGGTGATGTTGACGACTATGCGCTGTATCGGTACTCGTACCTGCCTACGCTAGCGTCTTTCGGGCTGCACCAGCGCCATTTGGGCAATGACGACAAACAGCGAAGAAGATCTTTCTGCAGGGACCAGATATCATGGTCGCGACTGCCTTTAATGAGGAGATGCGGGGTGAAACGCGGACTGGACTTAGAGTAAGGAACATGGGATGAAACATCAAACTGCCTCAGGCGCAGAACTACAAACATCTCAACGAGTAGGACCAAGTGGAGAAGGAAACAATTTAGGTCAGAACAGGCAGCATAATTCAGAGCTTGTCTGGCGAGCACGTAGCTTCTCAGGACTAGGATGCTGAAAAATGTAGTTGCGTATCGAATCAAGTCATGAAGAAGCGAAGCCAACACGCCCATACATGAACATTAATGAACATGTGAACGGATTAAAAATAAAGGACAGAGACATGAAGACAGTAAACGATCGAGATTCGCCAAGCCAGGCCACCTGGTTGTACGTTTGCGTGTCTATTTGTACACACATACAGCCTCGAGAGCATGCCATCGTGTTGTGGCGGATGTAAAATGTTTGCTGTAAGCAAAATGTCTGTTGGTATTGCCATTTGCGGTGAACGCTCCAATCAATCTTTTGTTAAGTGAGACGTTGGCGTGTGGTACTAGTCTCTCGTCCGTGAAGAACAAGAAGACAGTAAGTCCATTGGTTGTGTGGGTTGTTGCTGAAAAGTGAAAACAGAATGAAATTGGTCCGAAGAGATAGTAGGGGATACAGTACAGAGGGAGTGATTTGTTGTGGAATGCATCGCGACTTGAATGAAGACTACTGAAGGCGAGAATCTAAGAGCGATGCTATTAGATACTCAGACTGAATCGAGATGTCTGTCGTTTGTACGCGCGCTCACAAGTCGTGACTGGACAATAGCATTCTGAAGATTCTTGAGCTTGCAGATGGAAGATGCAGTCCCAAGGAAAAAGAACAAAGGATCAAAGAGCTAGACCAGATGATGTTACGCACTTGAAACCAGTTGGAGACGACGCCTGGCATGACTGCATCACTCACAGGTAAAGTGAGGGTTTCTGGATGTGCATCGATGAACCACGCATGCGTTGCGATCAAATGACTGTGTCGTTCTCTTATTAGATGATCTATAAACGTCGTCGGTGGGCACTGAAATGTGAACAAGTAGGCCTGCAGCCTAGAACGACCCCGATAACGGGGCACGTGTGCCGCCACAAAGCTGTCAACCCTCCTAGAAATCAAGCGCGGGGCATACACCATCTCCCCTCCTCCACCCCTTTCCGTGCCTCAATGCGCGTTAACTACCTGCCAACTCGAGACGCGACAAGACCACAAGTTGAACCACGAGAGTTGCGCGAATGGAGCAAGTCGCACGACTCGAGCGATGACCGCACAGGCAACACCGCAGGCCCAGCTCTTCAATGTTCGTTGCAGACCGTGGGTTTCGCCGCCTGCACTGGCCCTCGCTTCCATTAGCGTTGTCGCGCTCCAGTCTTGCACGCATCAACGATAACCTTTGCTCACTATATATACCTGATATTTGCGGAGTGCTAATGTGCAGTGCGAGGATTTGTACGAACTCATTTCTTGCCTTTTACCAGAAGTGACCGCGAGTCCCGCACAACACTGCACTTACTCAATCTTTGGAAAACATTCACCCTTCGTGGGTTCGAAACTCTGTTTTTGCACTTTTTTTGCACTTTTTTTGCTCGGTATTTTTTCTGTTCGCACGCGCAAGAATCACGACCACTCTAGTTCAATCTTATTGAACTACCTACCCTCCAACTCACTTACAGTATTTGAGTGTTTTTCGAGTATCGAAAAATACCATCCAGCTAAATGATCTGAGGCTGTCTTTATGCTTGCCGTGTCACTGGATTTACTCATCTTGTACTCGTGACTACCTCGACCCGTTCATGGGTGTCTTTGGCACAGCTGTTGAGAAGACACAAGCGTCCGGTTGCTGACCAACTGTATGCGACATTGAGATCGATGATATCTCCGTAACCGACCACAAACTCTGAGCAGCAGTGCTTGTCAAACACCGAAGCGGGACCAAGCGACAGGAAAGTTACAACAGGGCTTACAACGAAGGTGCTTCCTGCATTCCGTCCTACGTGACCAAGCGGGACCCAGGCTGCTTGCTTTGTGAGACATACTGAGTGCTGTGACGGGAAGCAAACATATGCTAAGAGTCAGGAAAGGGAGAAGACGCGAAGTACTGTATCACTATGTAAGCTGGGAAGATGTCGAGAAGAACATGAGCCTTATGCATATCTCTAGATATCACTAAAGATGTGAAGCATCGGCTGCGGTGATCACCTGCCGAGAGTAGTACTAGAAGGGTAACCCGAATAACATCTATCTGTACAACCAATCGAATAGACCGCCGAAGTCTAACACTTCATCTTGATTCCCCCCCTCTTCTCTTTCTCCCTCCATTCGAACATAAACTGCACACCAGTGAACAACGCGCCACAAGCCGTAGCAAGGAACATCCAGCCAGACCATGTCCCCACAATGCCACGAACCAAGTCCTTCAGGCCGTCAACCCCTAGCGCAAAGCCAACGAGATTGGCTGTCATGAGCATCAAGATCTCAAACACAGCACCAACACCGCATAGCCAGCGATACGCATCCGGGCTGTTTTTCCACTTCCTCGCGGGGAAAATGTACGAAGCGATAATCTCTGGGAGGACGAAGAGCGTGACAAGCCAACCCCACATAAGTAATCGAAGCTGAATGTCGTGCCAAATTGCTATGAAGGTAAACACGGCGAGATAGTTTCCAATTGACCTTGCCTTGCCCCACATGCCTTCGCCCCTGTTACCACCCAGCGGGATATAGAGATATCTCAAACTCCACTTATTGAAGCTGCGGTGCCACCCACGCCAGAAATACATGACGGAGTAGTTGTCAGACATGCATCTGACCATGTTCTCGGGAGGGTCAATGCCATCCATCAGAGACCAGAGACGGAAAAAGCGCCACGGGATGAGAAGCTTGAGCCAAATGTGCTTTAGGTTGAAGAAACCCAGCATACTAAGCTGGGCTGGTGTGTACTGGGACCAATCGGGTCTGGCATGGAAGATGGCGACCATGTACATGTAATGAATCATGATTTCCATGGTGAGCAAGACAACAATGAAACGAACAAGGTAGAGGGTGGTTCGCTTGGTAGTGATGCTGTGAGATTTGTATCGGCATTGAGCGATGTAGTCATTGAAAGTAATGATGGGCCCAGCGAGGTAGAGAGGCGAGTACATGGCATAGGCGAAGTAGTTGCGGAACGTATAATCAGTGGGTTTAGCGGGTATAGTGACTCGGTCCCGCTCGGAGAGATTGGAAGGGTCGAGTTGTTTCTTCTTGATGTTATTAGCCATATCGAACTAAGGAAGGGTGGGTAAAGTACTTCAAGGGGACTACTAGTGCGGGTGTTTAGACTCCAGTAATAGTCAAGATTGAAGCTTATCAAGCGAAGAATGGTGAAGTTGAAAAGGACTTCCCAACGGGGTATCAGACCGCCGTAGCTGTCCAGAGTGTGACCAAAGTTGGATGTTGGCTCGCCTTTCTCGGACACAGTTGATGGGAGGAAAACCCCGAGGATGTTGGCGTATGAGTATCCGTCCGAGAACTCGTTCGCAAACAAAGTGCCTACATTGAAGATCCATGTGGCAGCTGGTACATACTGCCGCGGAAGCTTGGTTCCGATACAGTAGTTGGCGTATAGAATGGCAAGGATCTTGAACGCAGAAAAACCATGCAGAGCAGCAAGGAAAACGGCAGCAAAGAGAAGGTCGAAGGAAACGCGTTGGTTCATGCGGGCATCTGCTGCAGCACTGGGAGTCAAGCCCATGGTAAGACCTCCAATGGCTGATGAAGAGCGGACTTGAGTATATGTGTCGGCTCTCCAGAACGAATCATAGGCCTTGCGCAAGATAGGATGAAGTACAACAACGATGAAAAGATAGGGAATGTTCTGACGGAAACCGCCATATTGAGCGTCAGTGTTGTCCTAGAAAGTCAGCCCATGGCATGTGATAGGTAATGATGTGACATACCACTTTGCGTCCAGGAATCCAACCATCAGACAACAGATGGTCGAACTTTGGATAGTTTGGGTGAGATTCTACAAACAGTTAGCATAATCTACCCTGTTTCTGCTATGCTGTACCAACCTTGAGACACATCTAGCACCAACTTGAACATAAAGAACACGCTAGTCAGAATGACCACGTAGTAGAAGTAGAATTCCGGCGTGTTCCATAGTGGTGGATGGCTTCTATTTTCTGGGTTTTTGCTCCCGTCTCGACCATCTTTGACTGGTACTGGCCCAGCGGGATCAAGTTTGGCCTCTTCGAGCGCCTCTTTCGGGGGTGAGGTGGCCGGAACAACGAAGCGTGTATCAAGGGTGTCCAGCGAGTAGAGCTGGCGAATGAATTTGAGCACCATTGTGTTGCCTAGACTATCTTTTCATCTTCTGGTGTTTGAATGGCTCTGCATGTGCGTCGCTGACTTATGCGGAGTGGAGGCGCGGGGGACAGGTGCGGTGACAGAGGCCAGGCAGGTCCGCAACCTCGACTTCAACTTTTGGAGTTCGCGTCTGGCGACAGCTACGCTCCAACACCAGCACCCGGCCCCCCAACCACAACGTCCGAACAGTCCCAGAGACAGACAATCACGCGTCAATTAATCTCTGACTATACCACCAAACTTTTACCACGATTTGCGCATTCCGATAATCGCGCGCGATGAACATCCCCAACGCATCGACCGCACCAGCTGCGGGAGAATATGCTGGAGGTACGTGAAGCTCCACGAAGCTTCACGCACAGCGCATACTGACTGATATGTGTAGATGAGGTCTCCGCGATCGTTCTGGACCCCGGATACTCGACCGTACGCGCTGGATTCGCTGGCGAGGATGTGCCCAAATCCGTCTGCCCTTCCTTCTACGGCCAGACTTCCTCCGGCGAATACCTCTTTGGCGAGAATGCGATACATGCACCGATCGGCGGCCTAGATATCAAGAATTACTGGGGCTCGGATGGCATAGTAGAGGACTGGGATACCGCGACCAAGCTGTGGGAGTATGCGATTACGAGTCGACTCACCGGCGCAAAAGCGACCGACCCTACGAAAAACGGCCTGAACGACGGAAACGGCGAGAACGAAAACGGGGAGGGTATGGACGTGGATATGGACGCGTTAGAGAACAACGAGAAGCCTCTGGAAGACAGCCCGCTGCTCGTCACAGAACCAGGCTGGAACAGCGCAAAAGCACGGGAAAAGTACATTGAGATTGCCATGGAGGACTGGGGCACGCCAGCTTTCTTCCTACAAAAGACAGGTGTATTGGCTGCTTTTGCATCGGGAAAAGCGTCAGGTATCATCATTGACGTTGGCGCGTCGCATACGTCGGTCACTCCTGTACTCGATGGCATGGTGCTGCGAAAGGGCGTACAGAAATCGCCTTTAGCAGGAAACTTCGTCTCTGACCAGATACGAACGTCGTTCAAGCAAGCCCAGCCCGAAGTACCACTGACCCCACACTACATGGTCAAGAGCAAAACGCCCGTCGACGCCGGCCAACCCGCCCAAGCAACCTACAAGACCTTCGAGACGCCACCCACCGACTCGTTCCGTCTGAACGAAGAAGAGCGCATTCTCACATCCTTCAAGGAGTCGGTTGTAGAAGTCTGGCCCGGCCCCGGTCGCTTCAGCACGAACGAAGAACTCGCAAAGAGCATGCCTGGTCGACCCTTTGAGATGCCCGACGGCTGGAACCAAGTCTTTGGAATCGAGAGGTTCCGTGCTGCTGAAGGCCTCTTTGACCATAGCGCCGCGCTCGCTAGCGAAACCATGCCCGCGCCGAAGCCCGAGCAGACGATCCCAAGACTTGTCCAAGCCGCAGTCCAACAAGTGGACGCAGACCAGCGCCCTCTTCTCCTGTCCAACATTGTCGTGACGGGTGGCTCAACACTCCTTTACAAATTCAACGAACGCCTCAACTACGAAATCAATGCCATCTACCCCAGCACCAGGAACAAGCTCATTGCACCGGGTAGTGTGGTGGAGAGGAAGTACGCAGCCTGGATCGGCGGCAGTATACTGGCTAGTCTGGGAAGCTTCCACCAGCTGTGGATTTCAAGGAAGGAGTACGAGGAGCATGGTGCTGGTATTGTCGAGAAGAGGTGTCGTTAAACAATACAATCTATAGACGACGCGTACACGATGGGAAAGGACGTAGATGCTCGACATGTTGCCTGCAATGAAGGCCTTGGATCCATTCTGTTTTGTTAGGTAGCGTAATACTCAAAAGATGCCACGACTGAACATTGTCCTCATCTGATACTCGCTCTGCATGTCTGAAATGTTCATTGATCGTCATCATATTGCCTTGTAGCTATTCGGCTGAGGTGGTCCGTCTTGAACCCCGTTTCGGTGTAATAGTACACATTCATGTTCGTAACGCCATGTCACCTACACCCCCCCCTACGAATCTATGTCCATCGTCTCGGCTGTTCCAGCTACGTCGCCATCCTTGAGCTCATGTACTGTAACATATTTGCTGATCTCCTCCTTTGTGATGATCTTCTCGTTCAGCACCGCCGTAGTTCCCCGCTGGAACCTGTAGTTCCTCTGCTTGGGCTGTCTGGTGTTTGGTGTCTTGTAGTTCCTCATCAATGTGGTCTTCTCCTCTGTGATGACCGCCACGTCCACGTTGCTACCTGAGCCCAGATCGTTCCAGATACCTGCCTCAATGGCGTTTGCGCAGAGTGTGACGGCCTCCTCCCTTGTCAGGTTTTGCTTCCACTGTGTCTCGAAGACGGACATGGCGGCCAATGAACCCGAACCCATGGTGACGTACGGCAGCTTGTCGGTGGAGCCGTGGGCGTGGACGGTAAAGAGATGTGCGCCGGTGGGGTCGACACCCGCAATAACGAGGTAGGCGCCAATGTGACCTTGGTGACGGAACAGGTGCTGCTTCAACATGGTCATGCAGGTAACGACGCGGGGCTTGCGGCCGGTGGAGAGGGCGTGCAGTTCGAGGTTGGAGGAGATGATGGCGGTGGTGAACTCGGTGTCTGCGGCGGTACCGGCACCGGCACACCAAATGTGAGGGGAGATGTAGTGGAGTTTCTCGCAGTTCTGCAGCACATGTCAGACCTATGTCCACGGTGATTGCTGCGTCTCTGGCAGGGACGAGCCTACCTTGTCTGCTACGATGGGGCCGCTGGTGGCTCGTGTGTCTGCTGCGATGACCACACCGCCGTCAAAGAGACATCCGACAATGGTTGTTCCTGTGCTCGTCGCCTTGGGCAGCGGGATGCCCTGAGCGTGGAGAGCCGCATTGCGGTTGTGGTTGGAGAAGTCGAAGCCGCCCATGGTGTTGTTGCGAAGCTGCCGGTAGAGTCGTGGGGGTGGTTTGTTGCAGAGACGGCGTGTAGCTTGGTGTGTGTGTGTTGATGGCGCGAGTCTGGTCCGGGGGTTGTGTAGGCGGCGGCGGCGACGGTGAGGTTGCGTAGCTGTCGTGCCTGGAGCTTGGAGGTAGGCTTGGCACGGCCATGCAGCTCCACTAGCTCGGGAACTTTCTCAGAACAACAAAGCGCGTCGCTTCAAAGTGTCGAGCTAATGGTCGCATGCTTGTCGCTCACTGTCCAGAGCGCCAGGCACATCCTCCTTACATCACCGCCGTTTCAATAGTCTTCTAGTCTTTGGAACGCCTTCCGCCTAGCCTATAGCGGCCTGTTTGCTCTTTCCCAAAACACATCAACCCTGTTCACGCGCGATCGCGCACGTTCTCCGATGCATATATGAATAAGCTGAGAACTCCTACGCGCGACACCAAGCCGAGCCTCCTACGCGCCAGAACCTGTTCGGCCTGCAAGTCTTGCAGAATGTCTAAGATTCCCGCGCCGGCTGTCGAGGCTGGGCCTGAGGTGCCAGAGGTAGAAACTGAGGTAGCTATAGCTTGCACCACACCGACATGCGACAGTACTGACTGACAACTACGCAGCATCTTGGCTTCAAAGTCCTCAACCAAGGCAAACAAGGCCCCAAGAAGGTCAAGATCCTGCCCCAGCCATGGCCCACCGACAATCTGCCTCCCGCTTCCGCCAACCTGCTCTCTGTCGCCTCCAAGCCCGGTCTTCTCGCTGCCGCCGGCCCCAACGCCCTCGTCATCACATCCACAGACACCTTGCGCAAAGCTTTCCAGAACAAGACCATCGCCGATGCCATCGAGCAACCCGATGATCCGCGCCTCGAAAACCGCGACATTGATGTAGTGGCAGATTACACACCTGACATCACCATCTCCACTTCCAACCTACGCCATGTCGCATTCTCCGCCGATGGAGACTTTTTGGTTACGTCCGATGAAGCTGAGGGCGGTGTGGTTATCTACGGTGTTGCGGATGTTGTCAGCCGAGGCAAGAGAGATGCAGACAACAAATTGGCAACCGACACGACTATTCGAGCACTCCTACCGAATCCCTCTCCTGATTTTGAACAGTACTTCGCTATTGTCCTCGATTCCGGCAAGCTTGAGATATGCGACGTGGGAAGCGGCGCCAAAAGGACGATCCTAGAGCACGATGTCAACTGCGCCGCTTGGAGCGCGCGCGGAAAGGCTGTCGTCTCTGGCTCCACTGACGGCACCTGCGCTATACACATGGCCAATGGAGAGCTCAAGGGCGTTATTCCTCGGCCTCCGGACGTGGATGAAAGCCACGAGGCGACGGGCGTGTCATGGTTGAAAACTGCAGAGTTCCTGGTTGTGTACTCCGTCAAGAACCAAGACCAGGACAGCCCCGAGCCCAAGAAGTACAGCGTCATACAATCTACCAAAGACTGGAGGTCTTTCACATATCATTCTCTGGCCTGGGATCCTCTTCCCGAAGCATTCGAACCTCCACGCCGCCAACTCCCTGCACGCATCTCGTCCACGCGCCTACAAAACTGGAAGCCCGATCTCGACGACATGCTCATCATCACCTCCTCCCATGCAGATTCCATTGCGATCTTGGCCTCGACCAGCAGCAAGATCTCTCCACATCAGGAGAATTGCAACGAGCTCATGCTTGTCAGTGTCGACGATACCAAAAAGGCTCAGGTACCGCGAACGGCTTATGGAGAGGACGAACTCGATAGCGTCTTCATTGGTGAGGCACTGGATCTGTCTAGCAAGGAGAAAATACTGCGTCCTATCCCTGCCTTGGAAGAGATCAACGAGGCGCCGTGGCCATTGCCTGCATACATGGCTCTTACTCACGAAGGTCTTCTTTCGGCCTGGTGGGTTGTCTGGAACAAGTCTATCGAGGCTGGCGAACGCTACCCTGGTCTCATTTTCAACAGCGAAGCTACCAAACATTCGTCATCGTCAACTCCAAGGGCTTCTACTCCTGCTTCAAAACTTCCCATCGCTACCTCTACCCCCTTCAGCAAGTCCGTGGGAACACCCGCAACTCCAGGAACGTCGGGCATTCCCGCATTTGGTGGCAACACCGGAAATGGCTTCAGTACACCAACTCCCGCTCTGATGAAGCCCACACCACCTGGCTTCGGAACGCCTGGATTCGGCACTGCTGCTACGAGTCTGCCTGCCCCAACGTTCGGTAAGCCTGCACAACCTGCATTCGGCGCCCCGTCTTCAATCGGTAAGCCTTCTCAGCCAACTTTTGGTGCGCCTTCTCAACCTGCCTTTGGTGCTGCCTCGTCATTTGGTAAGCCTTCTCAGTCGGCTTTTGGAACACCGTCTGCAATCGGTAAGCCTTCTCAGCCAGCTTTTGGAGCACCGTCCGCTGTGGGTGCTGGTAGTGGCTCCGGTTTTGGAGCAGCGGGCGGAATGGGAAACAAAGCATCACCATGGGGAGCACCTGCACAATCTTCAGAATCCAAGTCCAACCCCTTTTCGGCTGCTGCTGGTGGCTCATCTGGCTTTGCCAAGTTTGGAGGTGCTGGAGGATCGAGTTCCTTCTCGAGCTTTGGAAGCAACAATTCCGCGCAAACAGGCTCAGGTTTTGCATCGCTTGGACAAGGGCAACAAAAGTCAGGCTTTGGGAGTCTGAAGACGGAGCCAAGCTTTGGCTCTACTGTGACTGTTGGCTCTAATACCGGATCTTCACTACCCTCCTGGGCAAATACACCCGCACAGCAGAGCAGCTCAATCTTTGGACAACCAGAAAAGTCTTCGTTTAACACAGCCTCATTCGAGTCTAAGGCATCTGATAACAGCGACGCGAATACCGACCGAAAGAGGGATGAGGCTACACCCACCCCACAAGCTCCAGCATCACAAGGCCTCTTTGGCCTTGCAGGTGGCTTCAAGCTCGGCACCACCTTTGCTAGTGACGGCACGGCTAAGGACGATCCAGCGAAGCCTGCGGCTCCTGCCAACGGTTCATTCTTCGGTAGTGACTTTTCCAACATGCTAGGAAAGACAGATATGAAGCCGCCAGCTACCCCCGCGAGTGAAGCTCCTCCAAATTACGTCTCAACCACTCCGGCATCGCCACCAAAATCGAAGCCACTATTCCCCAGCGATACTCCTGCACGAGAGAGCGCGACCCCCAAAGCAGCACCGCCTGCACAAGAGGCCGCCACCCCTGCGGATGACGCACCTTTACCGCCAGATTTTACCAAGGCTAAATCATCCAAGGTTGACGACGCGCCTCTACCTCCGGACTTCATCAACACGAAGCTACCGAAGTCGACTAGCGACGATCTGCCTCCTCTTGCTGGCAGTCCTGGTGTTGAAGTAGAAGCACCCAGTTCTTCCGTCGATGTATCCCCTATTGACAACGAAGATGAGGATGACCACGATGATGACGACAATGAGGAGAGCGACGAGGATGAAGACGGGGACGAGCAAGACTCTTTTGACGAGGATGAGGATGAGGATGAGGATGACGTTGAAGAAGTCGATGAAACATATCCACCAAACAACGCGTCAAAGTCGCAGCCTACGAAGCCGTCTGGCTTTAGCTTGCAGGAAAGGATGGATCAGTCAAAGAGCTTCTTCCCTCCTGCACCGACTCCTCCTACCATGAAATCCGGCGCCACATCCCAGTCTGGTAGCAGCGCTTCACTTGCCCAGCCCTCCTTGTTTTCACAGCCTTCGAGACCCGCTGTTAGTCAGCCATCGTTTGGAGGCTCATCGCTGTTTGGACAACAACCAGCCAAGGGTCCCAAGCCCGCAGTGCCTGCCAAACCGAATTTCCCACCCCCAGCGAACCGCGCCCAAGACCTTCGCTCGCCTAGCCCAGCTCGTTCAAGCTCAGCGTCTCGTCCTCGAAGAGAACCTCTGGTCGCACCGGGTGCTTCATTAAGCTCATCTATGCTTGGGTCTAAACCACCGACGCCACAACCACAGTTCTCCGATCTTGAAGATGAAGAAGATGAGCGGATGCGGGCACAGCTTTCGCAGCCGATCGAACCCAGCCGGAACCTGGAGGAGTTTGTCGCATACCAGAATTACAGTGGTGGCAAATCACCTAGCAAGACCGGCCACGCCGCTCAGATCGAGTTGATCTACAAGGACATCAACGGCATGGTGGACGCGCTTGGCTGGAACGCGCGATCTATCAAGTCATTCACACAATATCACCTACAGCCTCGGTCCGACCACACAATCGATCGACGTATGCTGGATGATGTCCAAGACGAAGGAGCTCATGGCTCTTGGTTCGAGGAGTTCACCCTGTGTGAGATCCAAGCCTTACGTTCTCTCGAAGATGAGCTTGAGCGAGAGCTTGATGCTGGACGAGTACAAGACGTGCTCTTCAAGCTTACACAACTCGCCCGCTTACTTCACGACAAAGCCAAGCTGATGACTCGTCTTAACGATATCCGCCGCCAGATCATCAATCGCAAAGACCCCGAGAAGGCAGAAGCACTCCGCAAGGCGCCGTTGCCGAAGGAGCTTGCGGACGGGCAGAAAGCCCTGCGTAACGATTATGCCCAGTTGTTGACATCGCTACGTAAAGCTGAAGACGCCGTCGCAGTTTTGCGCTCACGTCTGGCTTCGCACAACGCCCAGAACGGCAGCACAAAGGCGGTGCCATCTATGGAAGCCGTGAAGAAGACAGTCCTTCGACTGGCCAGCCTAGCTGAGCAGAAGAACAACGATATCCTCGTCCTCGAGGCACAGATGCGCAAGATTGGCCTCGCAGACTCCAGTCGTCCTTCCTCATCCTCCTCACGCAACGCCGGTACTCCCCGACGATCACGCGGCACGGATCTACGCCGCAGCATTGCCGACACACCATACGCTACGCCACCTACCAACCGTAACAAGATGAGCTTGAGCGAGCTGAACCGTCGTGCTCTGACTCCAGACGTTGAGGCTACTCCTACACCCAGCAAGGGCTATGGTTTATTCTACACGCCCGAAGGCAGCCCGACAACAGGCAAAGAGATTGCGCGTCTAAGCGACCTGGTTGATGACAACATCGATAGCTTGCGACAGACTGCCAGGACGAGGAAACAGGTTGCCAAGGGTCTCAAGGATGCCCTTCTCGATCGTGGAATCAAGGCTACTAAGGTTAATTAAAAGGTGTGTTTGTCGATACAGGTGTTGGATTATGATTGTGTATGATTAAGCGTAATTGTTGTTTGGGACGTTTGGATAGCGATTGCATGCATATGGGACTGTAAAGGAAAATGTAATACATCTTGCATAGATGGAGTGAGCAGTGCAAATCATGGGTTCTCGCTGCGGTTTAGTTGATATTGACTGACATCGAATCGTTCTCACTCTTGCTCTCGCTTTCTCTGGCGGTCTGCACATGGGTTGCAGTGGCACGGCGCTTAGAAACCACAGCCTCGTCCAGGCTGCAGCCTCAATTTCCTCATAATGCTGAATGTTTCTAGCATTACGTCTCCGTTCAATCGTAATCTGTCTGCACCAAACATTTTAGGATGTTATGACTTCTAAGGGCTTTCACTGTAACAGCTAGTCTACGCGAAAGATGGCTCCCACTGCACCCGCACACGATTACTACGTTACCTTAGAGGTGCCACCAACCGCACCTCATGACGAGATCAAGGCATCGTATCGCCGTCTCGCACGATTGCATCATCCGGACAAAAACATCGGATGTCAACACGCGACTGCGAAGACCCAGCTTGTAAGTATCGGTACAGGGAGGGAGTGCGTTGGTACGTGTGCAATGTTAACACTAGGCGCAGATTAATGCAGCATGGGAGATCCTAGGAGATGTAGACAAGAGAGTCGAATATGATCGAAGCCGACCACAGCCAAAGGCGCCATCATCTGGCAGTCGACCTGGTCCTCAACCTACGTCCACCCAACAACCGAGGTATCAAGCATCCCCTCGTCCCGACACAACAGCTCAAGACGAAGCACGTGCGCAAGCAGAAAGCGACAGAAAGCGACGAGAGTGGCTAGAATTTGAGAGATACCAGATGGAGCAAATCCGACGGTCTCGGAATTTCGTCGAGCCCCTCGTAGCCGAAATCGACCGCCTGAATGCCATAATTGATGAGGACCGAACAAGATTAGCGAATGATGTTCCGTACGCCTGGAATGTTTTTGCATTCTTGAGCAAAAGACTGAGTGACCAAGAGAAGAGTGAGATCAGATTGGCCTCCATCAACGCGGACAACGCTATTCGGATCAAGCAGATACCCCTAAACAAAGCCACAGCACAACTGAATCAGCTCTGTGACCAACTCGCACAGCGACGCGTTCAGGAGGAGAAACGTATAGCGGCTGAGAAGGCTCACAAAGCGAATATGGAGCGGCTTGCAAGAGAGAGGGCCTACGAGGCACGACGCCAAGAGCAGGCAAGACAGCAGGCTGAGCGGAACAAGGCTGCCCAAGAAGCGGCAGAGAGGTTCCGACAACAGCAAGCGGAGCAAGCAAGAGAATCTGCAGAGCGCGCGAGAAAGGAACGTGCGGCTTGGGAGGCAATATTGAAAGCCTGTCAAGAAGAAGAAGAAGCACAGGAAAGACTTAGAAAGCAAGAAGCAGACAAAGAGCGAACCAGAAGATCCAATGAACGTAACGCAAGTTTCGGTAACTGTGACCACAGGTGTTGGTGGAACAAAGTTGAAGGTTATCACATCTGTGCGCATTGCACCCGACCACTATTCAAGTTTGCAGAGCAATGTCCCAGCTGCAACACTATAGCCTGTGCGTCCTGCCGACACATCTTGAAAACAGGAGGCGTTCCATCTGCATACAAGAACGATGGACATTGGAGTACGGAACATGCGCGGCGTCGGAATCGCAGGGGCTGATACATTGGTAGTGCATTCCTTTGCGCATGACTTGGATTGAGGTATTCATTAGCATTTGTGCTTGAAGCGTACTTGGAGATGCGCAGAGTCAGCGATGGGCTTGGATTACGAGTTGGAGTTCTTGTTCTGTGCGTCGGAGGTATCAAGGTGTCCGATCGGCCATTGATGGAGCTCTCGCCCATGAAGACAATATGCGGCTTTTTTTTATCTGACCGTTTCCCCATATCTGAAGTGGGAATCTCTACTTGACACCGATCTTTTGGCCGTAAATTGTTTGCTTGTAGACACCAGTCTAGATATGTCCCGGACATGGAAGAATGCAATGAGCCGACGGTGTCTGAGTTCCCACTTCGTTCGCCAACCCCGCTTCGCGCCTTCTCACTACATCAATGTGGGATAAAAGACTTATCATACGCACGTAACATATGATACTTAAGTATCACTGGGAAACATCATCTCTCTTGTATTTTTCTCCTTCGTTATTATCCTGAACTCCATACAACAGACACGAGTTCTGATTGGCGTTTCTCTTGTAACCTGAACTCTCTCCTACCACACTATACTCAGATAATCGTCGTCATTTACATCCCTGAACACACGATGTCTGGAAGCGTCACAGAAGTTGTTTACTTGCATATGAAGCCTGGTCTGGATCTTTCATTAGGCGAGGCGAAAGAAGTATGGCAATCAACCTTGAGTACCATTGCCAAGCAGCCTGGTTGTAAGGCATTGTACTGGGGTCGTCAAATTGAGAACCCAGATACAGTCCAGATGCTCGTAGGTATGTGATAGCCATTATGTCCCTGGTCAGCTGACCGCTATCATCTTCTCGCTGATCGACTATAGACTGGGAATCTATCGATGACCACAAAACTTTCGAGGGCACCCCGGGATACCAACCCTTCTTGTCAAACATTATGGAGAAGCTTGTAGCCAGCGGCCCAGAGATGTTCCACGTCAAGTTCCCCGCTGAATACTCTACATCCGACAATCCATTTGCTATGCCCGTCACTGAGTGCATAAACGCCTACTTTGCGCCCGACTACCACCAGGACCAATACAGTTCCCAGTTCTCCAAATTCCGCGCTCAGGCTGCTGAAATGCCGCAGTCGGGAGTTAAAGGCGTTTTTGGCGGATGGAGTGTTGAGCCGCATCAGCATGAGAATCTGGGTGAGGGTGTCAATGGAAAACTGTTTGCAGGATTTGTCGGATGGCCGGACGTAGAGGCACATATGGCATTTCGTAAGACCGAGGATTTTGCGAGGGTCATCCCATTGTTGAGGGAAGGGCATAAGGGAATAAAAATCTGGCATGTCGCGTTTCAACAATATAAATAGATCGGGTGTAGTCATAGGATGGGTAAAGTGGAGCTCTCGGAAGATACAGAAAGGTAGTTTTCTCTGGGTATATATATATATGTTGCCGAAACTCCGAACGGAGCTGTAGCTTGATAAGAATTATGTTCGATGCTCCTTAGAGTGTAATTCTCGATTTGTCCCGGGTCACTCGTTCGCCATTACTGGAATTGTATCGATTGTTTTGCAAGTCCAAGAGCGCACCAGTCTTCCAATCCAGTCTCCAGAGAGTCCATCGGTACGTAGGCGATAATTAAGTAGTCGCTATGTGCTTGCTCGATACAAGCTTTTGAAGGACATTGCACGATCTGATAATGCGCAGAAATCGTGTGTGTTATGGAATCCGCACCCATGATCATATGTCATGGATACGGACTGCACATGCCAGATTCGCACAAATAAGATCGTAGGGCTGTTGATAGGCGCGGAAACCTCCAGGAAGTCTCGCAGAAACCGCCGCCTCCCGCATCAGCATCAGCGATCCCGAAAACCAAAAGCAATCGCCTGTCGCGCAATGAAACCACTAGAGCGTAGCATATCGGCCTCTTGATAAGTCTTCGGGGCCGCATTTGGAACAGTTTCCAGCGCTCATGACATGCCCTTTGGTGGGAAACTAGACTCCTTCTTGAAACCTCCTTTCGAGATCCTGGAAAATTTAAGCGTGGCAAGCTGCGCCCACTGGCCGTTCCACTCCTTCAACTTCCTCAGATTGATGACATCCTCGAGGTCCGGTACCCAGAAGCCAGAGGCATACTCGTCTTGCTCAGTTTTCTGGTTGATCTCCAACAGATTTTGACGTGTGCTTGGTGGCCGTCCCGGGCGACGTTCTGCCTTCAGTTTTGCCAGCTCTTCGTCATCGCGACCTAAGTAGTCCTCGATCATAGCCTGGATTTCTGATACACTGAGTGGTGAATCATGCTCTGTGGTATATGATTGGAACGATTTGACTCTCAGCACTACCACGCGTTAGCTATATCATGTCAACCTACTGGCAACAGTATGCATACGGTATGGGCGATTTTGGTGTTCTCGGACTTTAGTAAGGCGATTGAGCTTGTCATCTCTCTGCGCGGCGCTCTGTAACCGCTTTGTGTCCCGGCTGCCTTCATGGAGATTAGGGTTCTTGCCCTTCTTCTTGGTGATCTTTTTATGCACCTTGTCGAGGCGATTGCTGACCATTTTGAATGTTTGATACTTTGTTTGGTGCTGGTGTTGGGAGTAAGAAATTTTGGATATCCATCGGCGAGTCGGCGACGGAAATCACGCTAGCAGACGGATGCGGACTAGAGCAGGTGTTAGCGGGGCGCGTTCCTGTCATCTCGTGTACCCGCGATCAATGACTGCTCCACACTTTAGATCGCGAACGCGCTTCCTTTTCTCTTGTCCTTTGTGTACTAGTGTTCAAGAGCTTCCCTTCTCCTATTGCCTGTTCACGATACCACCATGTTGCGGTAGTTGCTGCGTCTCAGTCCGTTGTATAGACCGGACGCGTGAGCGGCAAAGGGTACAAGATGGGCATCTCCGGTTGGTACATTCGATCACCCACCTTGCAATACTAATCCTGGAACAGGCCTTCTTCCACTACTGAAGTCGGTCCAGCAACCATGTAGCCTCAAAAAGTACGCCGGCAAGACGATTGGCGTAGATACGTATGGTTGGCTGCACCGTGGTACCGCAGCCTGTGCCGTCGAACTGGCGCTTGAGAAGCCGACAACCAAGTATGCACCGAATGCGGCGTACATGTGACGCTCACATGCTAACGTAGTCCTAGATATGTCGACTTCGTCATGCACCGCGTCCGTATGCTTATCCACTTCGGCGTCACACCCTACCTTGTATTCGATGGCGACAACCTACCGAGCAAAGCTGGCACGGAGAAGGGTCGAAGAGAGCGGAGAAAAGAGGGCAAGAGGCTTGGACTCGAACTTTTGGAAGTTGGGAAGACAGCACAAGCGCAACAGGAATTACAGAAGAGCGTTGACGTGACACCGGAGATGGCGCGCATGGTCATCGAAGAGCTGAAGCGAAACAATGTCCAGTACGTTGTCGCTCCTTACGAGGCTGATTCGCAACTGGCATACCTGGAACGGAAGGGCATCATCGACGGTGTCTTATCCGAAGATTCGGACCTGCTCGTCTTCGGCGTCAAATGTCTGATAACAAAGCTTGACAAGTGGGGAGAGTGCATCGAGGTCAACAGAAATCACTTTGCCGCCTGCAGGGAGGTAAGCTTGGTGGGTTGGTCCGACGCCGATTTCCGAAGAATGTGCATCCTGAGTGGTTGCGACTACCTACCGGGCATTGGTGGACTGGGCCTCAAGACTGCCCACCGCATGCTGCGGAAGCACAAGACTGTCGATCGCCTTGTCAAGGCTGCTCAATTCGACGGCAAGCTCAAGGTGCCAGCTGGATTCATGGAGTCATTTGATCAGGCAGAGAAGACTTTCCTCTACCAGTGGGTCTATTGTCCAGTCGCAAAACAACTGGTCAATCTTACGCCACTCGAAGAGGGCGTCAACCTTGCCGACATGCCTTATATTGGAGAAGAAGTACCTTCACATATCGCCACGGGTGTTGCCGAGGGTGAACTATACCCACGTACGAAGCTTCCGATAAATGTCATGGGCAACAGGAGAACTAGCGGAATACCTCTTGCCTCTTCTCGCAGGGCTTCAGCAGTTGTACAGACACCAGATGCGAAAGGCATGAAGCCTATCGACTCGTTCTTCAAAGCCAAACGTACTCCTTTAGCGGAGTTGTCTCCAAACTTGTTCACACCATCACCAAGTCAGCAAGTACTATTGGAACAGCAGCGAGATTCTAGCGGATGGGCTGCAGTACCTGCCCCAATCTCACGCTTGCGGCCGCATCCGCCAACGCCAAGTACGGCGCCTCAACCACCCCGACGTACGATGACTGATCCAACGGCCGGTCAACGATCGGTTCCGCATCCTTCTAAGAGACAACGACTGTGCTCCGATTCCGTTTCCGATACCCCTACTGCTGGCGGTGAGAGTATCGTCCGCAGTGAATTCTTCAAATCGTCCATACCAGAGCCGAGCCCAACATTACACCGAGCGAAGAAGAGTAGGAGAAAAACTGACCAAGATTTTGAGCTTTACTCAGATGACTCCATCCAGGAAGTTATGGTCGAGGTGGCTGATCTAGAAGAAGCTGCGACTCAATCCAAGAAGAAGCTACGCGTCTTCAGCGACACGCAGTCTAGCGGAGGAAGCGAATCACAGTCGACTATCTTCTCTAGAGGCAGTACTGCGCAATCTCAGGATACTGTCGGTACCCTCACACCAGCATCCTCACCGGAACCCGACTCGGTTTTCAGCACTGTAATGTCATCTCAAATGAGTGAACTGCGGACGAAGTTCACCTACAAATGTCCCTCGCCATCATTGGGTGTACCGCGAGCCAACAAAAGCCGTCCAAATCGTCGACCTGCTGAGGCATGGCAACCTACACCATCACCTCGAGGAATCACACCCACATTCGCTGTCGTGCTCGATGCAGAATCCATACTCCCCGGAACACCGTCCAAGAAGGATGGTGGAGTGGGGCTTGCAGACTCTACTTGGACTGCTACGGAAGCCGACGTAGTCATAGCTGCGAGCTCACCACCTCCTATGACGCCGGCCAAGAGAAGGAGATCATCATTGAAGGGGAGTGAAGACCTCCTTGTGCCAGACAGCGAAGCCGAAAGCGAGTGCTCGCCCCGAAAACCGATGTTCAACCTCAAGCGATTTGCATTTGCCGGTTAGGTTCACTTAGCGTTGCATGACTCTTAGCATATCTTTACAACGAGCGTACGACTTGCGGTATTGTTGGCGTTTTTGTAATTAAGCGCGTTTGGGTTGGTTTTAAGGCGCATTTCATCACGACCATGACAAGCAAGGATACACGAAGTATTGTGACACGTATCTTCATTTGTAGTATACCCTCAATACTTATTTGTTTAATGGCAGCCGGTGTATCTCTGCGCTTATGCATTCAATGCGTCTAATGCTCTGCATACGCTGAAAACTTTCAACCCATGGACAAAGGGATAATGACGCCCACAGTTGTTACGTCGATGAAACTGGCTTCGACTTCCCACATCTCGAAACAAAGCATCCTATCGAAGTGATACAGTGATTATAGTACAACATCACTGAGCCTTTAACGTGGCATTGTCTTCGACCTTTTTGGTCACTTCTGGCTGTCAACTCCAGACAAGGCTACTTAGTATAGGCTGGATACCTATTGACGGACCAGAACTACAAAGTCATTCATCAAGCCTTGCTGCACAATCAGGTTGTATTGGTTAACAGATACGGATATCACGCCGCCAATACGATCCCGGTTCCGACATCTGTATCATCCCAGAAATCTAAAGCTATCAATAAACAGCATCATGCCACAGGAGTTTGCTTCCGCTACGGCCTCTACACGCACCCGACTCGAGAGAGAGACGGCTCCGGCTCTAAGCAATCTTAATGTGAACATGCACAAGAGGCTGCGGCTAGGGAAAGGAACATGGACGAGGCAAAAGAGCGGAAAGGGACGAAGCTATCATATAGATTCAGGTTCAGTGTCAAGTCCGAGCCCAAGACTAAGAACGCGAATAAGTCTCGACCCCAAAGTTGAAAGAAACTCAGCGCCACGGAAGTAATGAAGGATGTCTCGAACGAAACCAAATGTGGTAGAGTATCCAAAACGAAGGACAACAAGATGGTACTTGTGCCTGAAGGGAACGAATTAGCAGACGTCTGACCCGAAGTGATAAACTTTCTTCGCTTGACCTCGTAAAATTACCGATGAGTTCCGGACGTTGCAAACTAGAACAAAAGGTTTCCTCCCTTGAGCCGTCTGTGGGTGAAAACGAGATCGAGATTGACGACGACAGGATCATAGTTACGAATGCATCTCGTAGTGGTATGATAAAGGGTTGCAGCTACGGTAAGATGAGGATGGTCTATATAGGGCTAGGAGTAACAGATGGTTGAGACGGACGGTTGAATGAGTGACACCTACGTAGCCCAACATAGACAATCGCTTAAACGAGAGTAGAGATTCTTCAAGAATGCAGAAACCCCGGCTGGATCGAGCGAAAGTGTCGAAACAGCTTCAATCAAGTCTAGTAGCGACAAAGTCTTCGACAAACTTCCAATCGATGTGATCTTCATCCTCGTCATTGTCTTCGACCCAAGTCTTCATAGTGTTGTTGCGAGCAATTGGGTGCACGAATGTGGTATTGAGCAAGGTATCGATTGCTAGATGTAGATCAGTACTTTTATGAACGATCATATGTCTCTGAAGAAGAGAGGGAACTTACGCAACAAGACTTCCATGCCGCTGGACATCCGGAACAGCGCAGACTGGGCCACAGGTTCAAGCTCAGAGCGCTTCTTTGTTGTGGGACGCACATCCGGAGCCCCGTTCTTGTATATCCTAGCAATTTGGTTGTTGATGCATTTACCGTGCGGATTACTGTAAGCCTGGCAGTATTGTACCCCAGCTGCGGCCGGGTTACCGAAGCCGACAATGAATTTGCATGGCTGACTATTGCAAGAGCTTCCGTAGTACTGTTGGATAATGCGACCTTGGCCTATATGTGAGAAGCCCGTTAGTTGAATAGTTGAACCCCAGCTCTAGGGAGAATTGAACTAACGGCTATTGTGCCTGCTGATGACACACTTGGTAACTTGCCCACCCTTGTCGGCGTCAGAAGTGCTTGCGAATGGATACTCGTCGCAGTTCTCGCCAGCTCTCGGATTGCCACCGCTAGTCTATCGAACAGTCAGGACATGGTTTTTGATCTGCATGCTTCAGAATGGATAGAATCTTACGCTGCAACGGTTGGGCCTAGGAAGACAGCCAGCCGACTTTTGGCGAGCTTTTCCAATATCACTATCGCGTTTTCCAGTACCTCCGTAACGATCGTACTTCAGTGTTGCTCCAAATGACGGTTTAGTGCAGTAAGCACCCCAGCACATGTTGTTGCAAATGTCTAAGCAACGATGAGCTAAGTTTGTACTCAAGGGGGCAAATAGTTACCCTGCATGTTGTCTGCGCAATTGAAAATCATACCAGGCGCGGCGATTCCAGAGCCTATGAGGCTGGTAATGACAAGAGTCTTGAATAGCATAGCTGTGTACTAAGTAAAGAGCTTGAGAACGCTTCTGTGAGGTTTGAACAAGAACAAAGCCATATCCTTTATACTCATGTTGGCCCCATGGATCAACTGACCGTGTAGATCAACTGTGTGTTGCGATTCTTCTTACTTGTGTACACTGAAGCATGGTGGATCCAACCATTTGCATGAGATGAGAAATGGTGACAGAGTTCAGTCAAGGATTTGGAAGACATCAGTTGAAAAACTTCTTGGAATTCATGAAGGGCCGTAATTGCCCCGTTTGTACTCCCCGAGTGTATTGATGTAAAATGTACCATCTGATCTCACTGGTAAGCAAAGTTTCATGCTGACATTGAAGACACGAACTCGGGTCTTGCTGGAAGGCTGCTTACTTGTATATTCAAAGACCCATACCTTAGCATCTCGATTGATTGCATGATTATGAGGCCGATAGTAGCTCTGAACAGACGTTGCATTTCCTGGCCGTGGTTGCAGGCACATGTAGAAATGTCTACAGAGATCTTACCTAAGATTGGTGAGCGTACTTAATCGGTGCCTTGGAAAGACAAGCAGTTTTCTACTACGCAGTCGAAGATCGAATTCCCCTATTGTACACCGATAAGCACCGAGATTCCACTGCCAGATGCGCTGATTGGAAACAAGACATCCTGAAAGTAGTGCGTGGCGTCTTCGGAGTGTAAGAAGGAACGAGACGGCGAATTCTATACATGGACGGGAGGGTCAGCCCCTAGCTGAGCGAGTCCGCATCATAGCCAGCCTCTGACATCATAGTTTGCGTCTACGCGCTTTCCTATAGTACCTTCCGAGCTCTGTACGACAGTCACTGACATTTGCCCCACTTGCTACTATCGCCACACCGTGCGTTAGCAACGGATGCACGGCTCCAAGGCATCCAACACTAGGACTGGAGTAACAATAAACAAACCAGTTCTGATTTCTTAGCTCGCCCCGCTGTAACCCCTTCCCTTTCTTCGCTTGCGGTCGTCTGATGTGGCCCGCCTAAGACGGCTAGTAGGTCATTCCCACCTGTTCATCTACCTCTTCCGAGACGACTCCCTCTGGAAAACAAAGTACGCGCAATACTACCTACAACAACATGTCTTTTACTAAAGACATTGCGAAAACACTTCCCAAGAAGGCTCCCAACGCGGAACATCATCGCGCGACGCTAGACAGCTTGTCTAGCACCAAGTTCGCTATTTTCCACACAGCTGCTTTGAACGTATCGGCTCGCCAGCAGCTTGAAGAAAGCATCAACACGGACGAAACTAGTACAGGGAGTTCTAAACTCGCCTCTCAGCCAGACTTCAGTGGTCGCTCTTTACGAGACGTGTATGACTATTTCATCCACCTGCGCGATCAAGACGACACCATCCATCCACTATTCTTCATAGTAGCCGACCAAGAAGATTTTAGCCGTAACGGGGTGGTGGTCGTTCTGCTCAACTCCAGCCAAGACGAGGAAGACGTTGTGGGTGTTGGACGCTGCAGCAGTGTCGAGGCGGACTCATGGGGTGCAAACATCGATATTGGTAATCAAGATTGGCTCGACTTGAAAGAAGAAGAAGCTATAGAATGGGGCGGGGATGATCCGTACGGGATTGACGACGATAATGACGGTGATAAACCAGGTGTCGGCGCAACAACCTCCCAAGGCACAACAGTGCAGAGCCCAACGACTCTGACTGAGCCACGCAAGAAAGTGTACGGGTGGTATAGCTTGGTCGAAAGAGGTACTTCATGATTACGCTCACACATAACACCCTGCATGTTAACTAATTCCGCAAAGCTGTACCGATCAACTCCATGCTCGAGCCGTCATGGCTTGATATGAGATCAGGAGATTCTCGATTCCAGATGCTCGGCAACTTCTATTCTTCAAACAACCCTTGGGATGAGATACGTGTAGCGCATCCACAGCAGTGTGTTTTCAGGCCTTCCGTCCATCGAACTCTCATCCTTGTTGCAGAGCACGATGACGCTAACGGCCCCGAGGGTATGACCCTCGCTCGTTTGAAGTGGGATGGCAATATTGAGGCAGTAGAGAATGCGACCCCATCACTCATGCCGGAAATTGAGATAGTGGCCAAGGTGAGCGCGGGAACGGCTTTGGAGCAGGCGGATCGAGCGGCGCAATAACTTAGTGGTACTATCATGCGTGCATGAACCAAACTCTCTGGACTATGAGTCGCATCCGGAGGACTTTAGACTTTCGTTGTACCAATAATTATGTTTGCGCATCATTGAACGAAGATGGTTAGCGCTATTTGATAAGATAGTGGTGGACCAATGGTCGCGTCAAGAGTGTACCGTTATATCAAGCTTGACACCACTGTCGTGTTACAGCTTGTCAAAAACAGCATCATATGTAAGCTGGAGAAGTTGATGTCTCTCCAAGTATACTTGATCCTGATAAGGCTCTTGATTTCCATAAACATCAATGCGGTTTGTTGCACTCTGGTAACGTAGACACGAGAGATCATTATGATTTGTAGAAGAGTTTCACACTATTGTCGTCATAAACCATACAATCCTCGTCAAAGTGCTCTTCCCTGAAAATAAAGCATTCAGGAATAGTGAAAGTCTTTTTAGGTCTGGTCCACCCGACCACGACTTGCACACTACTATAGTAATTGTGCTAGATATGGACCCAGACGCGGTGAGTAAGCGCTGAATGGTGAGCTCATTAAAATTTCTCTAGTCTATCTTCACCATTTTGGTGGCCGAAAGAAAGGAAGCTGGATGGTTGAGGCGTCTTTGGCCACTGTAATGATAATCAACTGACAGAGGTGAGTAGGTGACCGTTGGTCAAGCTGAACACAAGTAATACGGGTCTCACGTCGATACTGTACAGCATGCGCTGTTGCTAATATGCTGGGCTCTTGAGCGGCTGACGTCCCGTGGTCTTTTGTTACGACGTCACAAGATGTCTGCATGATTGCACTATCGTTGACGTATGGTCTTGTACGTAGCATAAATCAGGTCTAGAGTTCTTTTTAGATCCGCTGAGTCTATAGAACATAATGCCCAACGTCTTGCACTGATGGAAGAAGTTGCCTTTACTTGTTCATTCACTCATCATATTAGTGAGACTAGGTCATTGCGATTGCTTACCGACCTGTCGAGTAAGAGTCACGAACTGAAAGTGAAGGCAGATTGAGACATTGAGACCTCACAGGGCAGGCCTTTTACCTCATACTAAATCTATACTTGTCCTGGGTCTCTGATAACCTACAGGTATCCTTCGCGAGACAACGTCGACAGGTTCTTTGCACGAAACTTCACAGTCGGTATCTCCTAGCGAATAATCCGAGATTCCGCTATTGAACTTGCCCTTGGAGATTTTCGAGGAAGTAATTGTGGCTCTTACGAATAAGGTTGGGCAACGAAGTGTCGTACAGTATCGACTCATCAGCAGTAAGTACTATACCGGCGTAAAGCTCAGCGATTTAAACAAGAAGCAGGAACATTCGCAAATACGATCAAGAACTAAATCCTTGCAGCCATCGATCCCACGGACCTCGCCAAATTCTTGCACAACACTTCCTCCGCTCGTCTTTTCGAAAAGTATGGTGGCAAGATCCTTCACAAGTTCGCTATGAGCCGTAGAACAACAAAAAACCAAGTCGTTGACTTTGTCCGGGGTTTAGCCAAAGCAATTGAACCAGACACTGCACTTTATGCTGCGCGAGTGATGGTCCTGTGCATAAGTATGACGGCTATAGAGCCAAGATACCTGTGTGCCTACATAAAGGGCGTCGAGATTGTCAACAAGGAGAAGCGACCATGCTCTCTCAAGGACATGATGCTCGCTGTTTCTGCCGCATCTGGAGATATTGCGCTCTTCGAAAAGCCGACGCTTACACCAGCATTGCTCCTCAGACAAACTCACAATCTCTTGCCAAGTGCACTTAAAGCTGCCGTTGTCGCGGACCAGTATACCATCCTTGAACGCATTCTAGAATATCTTGTGGAAAATGTCAAGGGCAAGCGCGACTCCGGATCATGGAAAAATATGCGGAAGACTGGCAAGGCTTTGTGCATGGCCATACGCTTACACAAGAACGTTGTTGAAAACCTACTTTTCGACTTCCGTGACAAGAATGAGCTCTTCGCGAGGTTTGCTCCCGATGAACTGGGCAATTGGCCCGTCAACGATGCTATCGGATACTGCAATATAGACCTATTGTATCGTGTTCTGGAGGTCGACCATCCCGGATTCGTAGCCCATATTGACGGAGGATCCAACGGATACTATGATCTTACTAGTCAAACTATGAAGACTCTGCGCAGAAGAGGAAGAACTGAAATGTGGGAGATGCGTAAGTGTACATGTATGAATTGTATACGAGGCGTATACTGACTTCCTGAATCTATATCTAGTACTGAAAGATGGTATCGTCGGATCAGACAAAGTCTACTTTAACAAAACAACACTACAGTACGCTCTTCAGAGACGACGATACGACATTGCGCATATCCTCATCGAAAACGGTGCAGCGATCGACGGTATCACTCCAGAAGGGCACACCATCCTGTGGCTGGCGTCGAATGAAGGGCACTCAAAGGATGTTGAGTTTCTGCTCAATCAAGGCGTGGACCCCAATTCTCGTGGGAAGGGCGGTATATCTGCGATTTCGGCTGCGAGGTCATCAGGATATAGCAAATGTCTTTTCTTGCTTGAGGCAGTAAGGGATCACGGAAAGGAGTATCTCAAACGCCCCGACCTATGGAATGTATACGAGTTTGAGAACTTCGGATTTTAGTAGCCATGAAGATGGCTCAGAATCTGAGTATGGTGGTGAATACTGGGTCGTTGGTCACCCGTTTTTGGCGCTGTAAAGAGCACTGAAATTTATCGGGTTCACTAATAGTTTCAGTAATCACTGATCAGAATTGGATGCTTAAAGACATAATCCTGCAGCATAACTTTTGCAACGTCGTGTCGTAAATGAGGGATGGAGCGTTCTTCAACAAGAACCCTGAGGTCGTACAGACTGAGGTGGCGCAACCCAAGACGCGCCCCACCATCACGTCAGTAATGTTGGTTAGTCAACATTATCCTCTGATTCTACAACTAATAAGGTCCTGCTGACTAGCATTATTCTTCTCCCCCCATCCAGCAGCAGCGCACCACCACAGCATGAAATTGTTGGATCTTCCAACAGAACTAATCGAACGTATAATTGGCTTCTTTGTTAGAGATACAGGACCGTTGTACGTATCCGACTACCGACTTGTCTGCAGTACGTCTCAATAACACCACAATGTAACTCCAACTTATGCGCACAGAACTATTCGCCCATGAGATCCAAGAAGAGATCTTGAAACGACAACCGCTCATCGTGTACTCAACAGATGAGCTCAGATTATCCAGTCCAGTGAACCGCCACATCTTCATCGCGACAGATAATGCGAGATTTGAGAAACTTTTTACTCAGCATGGCGGCACGATCATAAGTCATGAAGTTTTTCGACGGCAGAAAGCGCCGTTGCCAATAATCGAATACCTGCGCAAACTCGTTAATGCTTTACTGGAGCTTGAGAAGGGTCAGTTTGCGGACGACCTACAGAAACGATACACGATACAAATTTGCACAGCTCTATCTAGTGTATACTACAAACAACTCCGCTGGCGCCTGTTCCTGCGCGACTACTCTGAAATCCGAGAGCCAGACATTGCAGACGACCTACCCGCAGCACTAGCCGCAACAGGGAAACTGCAAGAGCTCCTAGATCTCGTTTCGGGCAACCCCGATCGTTTGAAAGAAAGCTGCTCTTGTCTTTCTAGCCCTCTAGAGGCAGCTGCAGCATGTGATCAAGTGCACATAGTCAAAACCATTTTAGATATCTTCTCAACCCACAATTTCGAAACGGATAAGATGTCCCAACACTTCTGGCCTTACCGAAACGATGCGATCCACAAACGTGTGAAGAGATCTGGACTAACTGCTGCGATCCGCAAAGGTGCGAAGGAATCTGGAAACATTCTACTTGATCAATGCCTTCCTTCCGCGCGACCAAACAGGTCCAGCTGGACTCAATTGACTAAGGAAGTGGCAAGGTATACCGACAAGGGCTTCATGAAGAGAGTATTAGAAGCACCCAAGTACAACGTCGGGAAAAGGAGGGGATTAGAGAAAATTGACGCGGTTCAGGTGCTGAAGGAAGGCAGTTGTTCAGTTCTACGTGCTGTCATTCAAGACGGTTACCTGGATCCCAACGAAGCAATTTATGACTTCACACCGCTTGCTTTGGTGATAAACTTCCATCGCTACGACCTCGCTCGAGTACTTATCCAACACGGTGCCTACGTTGATGGCGTACCCGACACGGGAAAACCTGTGACCGCCTTGTGGCACGCAGCTAGAGCGGGTTATCGGGGATACGGAGACAATGTCTTGCCTGGAGTAAAGTTTCTTATCAGAAATGGAGCGGATCCTGACTTTGGAGGGGACTGGAGATCTCCGCTTCAAGCTGTGGAAGGGCTGTGGCCCGACGTGCAGTATCTCTTGCGACAGGCAAAAGACCATGGCCAGGACGTGGCGCTAAGCCCGGAAACATGGAGAAAGTACGAAGAGAGACCTGCAAGGGATACACCCGTCGTCGTTGACCAAAACTCGTCTTGTGGAGTTAGTGAACGCGTAAGATCGTGGGAATCAGACCAAGAATGAAAGATACGCCATTTCAGAATAGAAAAGGACTTCATTTGAGAACAGTAAACAGTACCTAGAATATATTCATGTGGTACTTGACCCACTATCGGCCAGCAAAACGCCATGATCTCTCTGTAACCGTACACTGGATATCACAAATACAATGGATCGTACACAGTACCTCAGTACTTCTCCTCCAGTCGTGCTGTCATGCCAGTGACTGCTATTCTCCTGCTCTCCTCACGCTCTTTGATATGCATCTCGCGCTCCAGCTCCTGCTGCCTGGCCATCTTCTGAGCAGTAGTGAGCTGATCGAGCACTTTAGAAATGCCTTCCTCGGTCTGCCCATTGAAGAGACCCGCCAGATCAGTCTTCGTAGTCACGGCGAGCTGGTCTTCTAACGCCCTTAGTGCTTTCGTGCCGAGCTCGGAGACAGCTTTCTTGAACTTGTCCTCCTCATCAGCCTTCGCCTTTTTGGCTGCCTGCTCACGCTCATCAACATTGGAATCTCCAGCTTTGCGCTTGGAGGCTTTCAGGGCCTCTTTCTTTGCTTTAGCGGCCAGGTAGCGAGCCGAGTGTCCCAACGCGCGTCCATCTTTAGTCAGCGGTTGCTCCACGTTGAGCGGCGGCGCAGTGAAGAAGAGGATACGACCCTTTTCGTCGCGCTGAAACTGCTCGCGGATCTCAAGCGGTATACTAGCGTTTGCATGGTCGGCCATGACGTAGACCTCTACAGGCTGTGGAGCCTTATAGTTGAGCGGCAATTGCTGAGGATAGGGCTGCTGGTAGCCTGGCGCAGCGCGAGGCGTCTGGAAGGCCTGCATGGGGGCAGCTGGTTGGGGCGTGAAGGGTACATGTGGCGTGATGGGCTGGTATGAAGGCGCCTGAGGTGCCTGCTGATGCATATGTGGAGCGGGTGATTGAGAGTGAGTGTGGTAATGTGTCGCATGGGTTGGCGTGTATGCTGGTGCAGCATGGTGCTGTTGCGGTGTTGGAGCGGGCATTGGCGTAAGGGTCGGGGCTTGCGCAATGGGATAATTTCTTGAAGATTCGTAACCGTGCGACGAAGCCGTGGGCAAACTTGGGGTGGGCATGACAGGCGCAGGTGGGGGTGTCGGTGGTGGCGGTGGAGTGGGTTCAGGTGGTGGAGAGTCCTATGGGATCTATCAGTATCGGTCTTCATGGTAACAAAGAGCATTTTTCGCTTACCTTGGGGTCACGCGGGCGACGATGCACAGCGCCAATCTTTGGAGGAGCATTTTCAGCACCCCATTCCGGCTTTGGGAGATCGTCGTCCTCTTTTTGGTCGTCCTTGAGCAAGTACGCAATCGGGCTGGGTACCTTTTTCAACTTCCGAGGCGCATCGAAAAGATCCATAACATAGTCCTTGTCGCGGACCTCGTCGGGTAGACAACTGGCCCATGTCTTGATCTTGTTGAGCTTGTGGTTCTCCTCGTTGTATCGAGCTTCGCAGACGTAAATCTCCTTGTCGGAAGGAAAGTCGCGGGGACGGCCTTTGTTGTAACGTGTAATAAACATGACGAAACACCGGTCCACTACCTCGTCGATGCGATGGTCTCGATACTGGCCAGTCTTGACGACCTCATTTTCAAAGAAGTGCCGGTCGAAACGGTGCACGGTCTGCTCTGGACGGTAGTACCAGCAGGCGTTCACCCACTGTCCGCCGTTCGCGTCTTGCCAGGTGCGATAGATCTGGGCCACAATTGGCTTTGTGAGGTCGTTCGCGTTCTGAATATGCACCCAATCGCCAACCTTCCACAGTTCGCCATTGTGAACAATGCCGCTAGGCATGGGAATACGTCCCTCTTCCATGACGTAGTCGGTGTCAGGCCTTTCCTTCTCGGCCTTTGCAACCTTGCGCGACTCCTTTTGGAGATGCACAGCGTCCTTGTAGATCTGGCTGTCCTCCTCATTGTACTGCTTTGCGTTTTCGAACATGAGCTCCACATCCACCATAAAGTGGTCGACCGAGTTGTACTTCTTTCGCTTGAGTTTGCGCTTGAGAATGTCCATAGCCATTGGGTTCTTGATCTCGGAGTGGTATTCAGGCATGACCGTCTTATCGGGGACGCGCTCGAATGCGCTGACCATGAGCTTGTTAAGCTGATTTCGAGGCTTCCTTATGGCTTTCATAATCGTTTTGATTCGCGCTTCCATAGGTGTGTCGACCCGCGGCGGGCGCCCACGCTTCTTTCGTGATTCTGGATCGTCGTTCTTAGCGTCCTCCTTTGCTGCTCTCGAGCCGCCTTCTCGCTTGGTGATAGCTGCTGTGGATCGCGGACCACGCCGCCTCTTGCGTTTGCCTTCGTCTTCCTCGTCGTCGTCCTCTTCTTCATCCACTTCGAGCTCTTCTTCGTCATCGTCCTCTTCTTCCTCTTCCTCCTCCTCTGGCAGTAGCGGGTCTTGTTCTGGAATCTCTCCGAGGAACGGCAGGGTGGCGACTGTTTCGGGAACGATCTTGTCATCCACTAGCCTCTTCAACTCCCGTTCAATGACCTTCTTGACTTCGAGCGCATCCACATATGCTTGCGAGTCCTGTCTATTGTACACCTGCGCATTGTGGGGGATGAGCGCCAAGTCGCGTACGAACTCGGAGACATTTTTGTATTCTCTCTGCGCGATCTTGGCCTTGATGGTGCTCAGGGCCATGGGCTCCTTGATGATGTCGTAATAGTCGGGCACGGCGCGCTTGTTCACTTTGCGCTGGAAGAGCTTGGTGGGATCATATGTTCCACTGCACATTTATTAGCCAGGGAATACATGGCGCAAGTAGTGAGAGTACTTACTCGTCGATCCTGTAGTCGTATACATTCTTGAGGAGGTTTGACATGGCCTCCCATTCCTGCGCCGTGACAGTCGACGTTGCGCCAGCGGACTCGGCCGTCTCGGTGGTGGGCACCGGAGTCGAGCTTGGGGCGCGTCCGGATGCCATGTTTGCGATAATCCAGTCGATGCCGTCGTGTTGCGGTATCCTTGTTGCGCCAGATAGCGTCGTCGTCGCGTCGTGGATGTAGAAGTCGCGACTCTGGAGCGGAAGTTTGGATTCGCCGGTTCGCCGACCCCTGCCATCCCCGGGTCGGCCTACCTCCATGATTCGGGAACATTCACTTACGCCATGCCACTTGTTCCATGCCAACTGTCGCCTTTGTAGCGTCTTTCCGTAGCTGACAAACGATTCTTTTCTAACAAAGCTTCCTTCGTGTTTGAGCAATCGTGAAGTTCTCCCTCCATACACCCACTCACTCATCGCAGCTTCCATCTAACAGCTCTCCACCGCTAAATCGCCGCCCCACCAGTCAACTGGCATCTCGCGCCACGCCTTCGAAGCTCCTTCACTCACGCTCAATACTACTCCGCTCACGCATACCAACTGTACCAAGTTATCGCAGCCGACCAATCACAACATGCCCATCCGCATCCGGTTACGCGCGCCCAACGGCACTCACACAGTATCACTCAACGATGACGCCGCTGTCTCAGACCTTCTGTCCTCTATCAGCGAAAAGACGGAACTACCACTGTTCGAGTTGAAATGGAACCATCCGCCACAACCGCTCGACCCTTCGCTGTATGGCATGTCGACGTTGTTGAAAGACATCGATCTCAAACTAAACGGCGCATCCATCATAGTCGTTGCACAAGCTACGGGCGATCCAAGTGAGCGTAAGCAAGAGCAAGAACTCCAAGCATCTACATCTCAGGCCGCGCCGCTGTCACTCCAACGGAAGCAGAACTCTGCACTCAAGGACACCCCCGAAGTTCCGGTACCCGACCGTGGTGGCACCATGGTTCTTCGAGTCATGCCCGATGATAACTCTTGCATGTTTCGAGCAGTCGGTAGCGCTGTCTTGTCCGACTCCCTTGACTCCATGACCGAGCTCAGATCGATGGTTGCGCAGGCTATACAGCGAGATCCAGAGCAGTACAACGAGGCCATCTTGCAGCGCTCTCCCGATGAGTATTGCAAATGGATATCATACTCTGACTCGTGGGGCGGTGGCATCGAACTCAGTATACTGTCTCAGGAGTTCGACATTGAGATCGCCAGCGTCAACGTCCAAGACAACCGGGTAGATCGGTTTAATGAGGGCAAACAACGGCGGTGTATCCTAGTGTATTCTGGAATACACTACGATACCATTGCTCTTGTGCCGCGCGGTGTGTCACCTCAAGACCCCTCGCAAGATATCAAGTTATTTGACGCAAAGGACGACGTAATTCTTGAAGCGGCCAGGGAACTCTGTGGGCAGTTGCAGAAAGCACATTATTTTACCGATACACAAAAGTTCGACATCAAGTGCAACAAGTGCGGCTGGAAAGGGGCTGGAGAACGGGGTGCGATACAGCACGCAACCGAGACCGGGCATAGCGACTTTGGCGAGGCGGATTGAGTACTCTTCCGTTATATCTTCCTCCCCGGCCAGACTTCGTGCATCTCAATCGACTAGAGCGTAATACATATTTTATTTGTACGACTACAATCACACGAAAAGGGCTTGTGAAATGGAGCTCTTGTTGATAAACTCACCTCTGCATGCTGTATTTTTGCATTAATAACATTACCGGATATTTCAATATTCCAATAACAAACAGCGAATTTTTCTGAAGTAAACACATCTGGTACTTTGCGGTTCATCAGTCAACACCCGAATCAGCCTTTAGTATGTTTTCAATAGCTGTACGTATGCACTATCAACGGCATCTTCCCACAGCCCGTTCTAGACAACTATAGACTAGGGCGCAAGCCCGGACCTTCGCCATGTCTTACACCGAGCCGGAAACAAGCTTTGCAATGACAGTGGAACTTCCAAGGATAGCGCAACCGCTATTCTGGATAGCTCCGGTGGTATGGGACGTTCCAGAAATCTTATGACAGATCAAATCAAGCCTTCTAAGGCTCCCCCATTCGCGGGCCGAGTAGAGTATTGATGATGGAACTATACGAGAAGAGATTTCACACCTTGTCATTCGGGGAATCCGGATGGAGACGTTGTGATCTGTCTAGTGAAGACAGACGAACGTTTTGGGATGCTCCCTACATGGGTTTTGGGGCCCCGACTGATTAACATGACATCGGAACGTTTAACTGCACATTGTGACTATTGGCTTTTGTTGTTAGGCACCTAATTCAGAAAGACGATAGTAATAGCAGAGCAGGGTTTATTTGAAGCTTTGCTAAGACTATACCAAGCAATACGTTGGTAGTAGTCTGGTCGTCGAGCCGAGATTTTACTGGACAGAGATCACGATCGGGCTCTTTTCAGTCCAGCAGCATTAGTGTCAAAATCTGTAGCTCAATGTCCAGAAAGGAGGCCGGCACTTATCTTTGCACCTATCTTCGAGTGCGCATCCATGTTCGTGTGTGTGCTGTTCCAGGGGCCTGGAACAGTGACGGAAGGCTTGCGTCTAAACTGCGTTGGTGCCCCGGACGCCGCTGGAGTTGACCACGTGCGCCAAGCCGGCGCTTTCAACGTCGAGCTCAAGGCCTCACAGATTCTTTCGCCAGCCATATCATGTGCAGTCCTGAAGCTCGTCAGTCTGGACTGCTTGTACAGAACGGTTCTTGAATACACGTCACCCGTCTTCTGCTCTTACCATAGACCCCAGTGCGTCGGAGAACGCACCGAGAACTATAGTTAGCCTTGAAGCCTAGGAAGTCTCGCCCAAGAGGATCAAGATCTTCTCCAAGGAACGACAGGGATTACCTGCGGTTGTAATATTCTAGCGCGCACGCAGGTACGCGGTTGCCCCTGCATTCGCCGTAGGAACACCCGGCGCATATCGCTCTCTCAACTGCCGTTCTCGATTCGGTCATTACAATCCACCAAGCTTCCGATAGTCGAACCGCTTTTAGTGATGTGCTTCAAAGATTCCACATCTGAGCTACACGTTACTTCTAGCTACGGCCATCTTCGGCCAGTAAGAGTACGAGCAGTGCCTGCATGACAGTGGCACACCCGAGCACATCGCCTCGGCCCAGTACAATCTAGTAGAGACGACGGGTAAGAAATATTTACGTCCAAAGTAGGACGTTGTACAAGTACTGGCCATGTCCTATATTTGCCAGAACCATCAGCATCTTGAAATCCCATCAACTTGATTCTTATACGTTCTTTGCTTAGATTCATTCAAGATGCGCGTTACTGCTATCGTCACCGCTGCCTTCTTGGCCAGCAGTGCTACTGCTGCTCCTACCCCAGGTCTGATCAGCAGCATCCTGGGCCTGCTCACCAACGACATCAACAAGCTTCTCTCCTCTCTGGGTATCCACCTCCACACTGATGGTGCCAATCACGGCGCCACTGTTCCTTTCCACGACCAGTGCCCGTTTAGCATCCCAGCTGTTGATCTAAGCCCCATTCGCCACAGCCACGATATCAACTGGGGCAAGGGCGTCAACGGCGGCAACTTCATCAACTGGAAGACATTCAAGGCCAATGGTGCCAACCTGGGCGGATGGCTGGAGAAGGAACAAACTCATGACCCTATATGGTGGTCTGAAGGGGGCGGCGATGGTGCTCCTGATGAATGGACCCTCTGCCAGAATCTCGGTAGCAAGTGTGCTTCAGTCTTCGAGGAGCGTTATGCCTCTTTTATCAACACCACCACTATCGACCAGCTTGCCAATGTTGGTGTCAATACTCTCCGTATTCCGCTCACATACGCTGCCTTCATCGAAGTTCCTGGTTCTCAGCTTCACCATGGCAACCAATTGAAGTTCCTCAAGACGATCACCGACTACGCCATCAACAAATACGGCATGCACAGTAGGTCGACTTACCCTAGGCTGATATTGTGGTGCCATTGCTAACAAGCCCTCTCAGTCATCGTCGGTCTCCACTCGCTTCCCGGTGGTGTAAACAACCTCGACATCGGCGAGGCACTCTTCCACCAGGCCTGGTTCCAAAACTCTACAAACCTTGACTACTCCTTCCAGGCTGTCGATGGTGTTCTTAACTTCATCAAAAAGAGCGGCCACGTTAACGCTTTCACGATTGCACCAATCAACGAAGCTTCCGACAACTTCGCTGGTTTCGGATCTGCTGCTGGTCTCACTATCAATGGAACGAACTGGATCAACACTTACTTCAGTGGGGTACTCAAGAAGATCGCCAAGGTGGACAAGCGCATTCCTATGATGATTCAAGATTGCTTCATGGGCGCCAGTTACTGGGCACCCTTCTACGACGCATCTGAAAATATTGTCTTCGACTCTCACGTCTACTACTTCGCCGCCGCTGGCACATATGCCGGCTACGTCAACCCTGCCGTGTGCGGCCAAGCCCAATACATTGCTCAGGAGACCAAGTTTCCTGTTTTCGTCGGCGAATGGTCCCTGCAGGCCATGTACAACAACACTCTGGATACCCGCAAGACCATCTTCGACACTCAGCGTTACGCATGGAACAAGTACTTGGCCGGTGGTGCCTTCTGGAACGGAGTCTCTTACGCAACTGCCAAGGTGGATGGAGAGGGTACTCAGCGCGAGTACTGGAGCTACATTGACTTGATCAACCAGGGTGTGATCACCAAGGTTACAAACGAGTCATACTGTTAGGCGATTGGAGGAAGATGAGTTACGAAAGCATATATACCCGGATAGAATAATTTTGTAATGTTCAACGATTTAGTGTTTTAGAGTCAAATGTTCTCATGGTATCAGACTTTTTTTTATCTCCCATCATTCAGGTTCTATCTTATCGAAAATACACTTTGCTTTGAGTCCTGTGACTATGACGTCGGGAGGGGGACTTCCTTCCTTGGACCGAACACCAGACTCACTTTCACCTCTCATCAGAGCAGCAGCGGCAGCCTAGTGGTCGGTTCACTGGATACACAGTGTCCGTGTATCAATTTCATCTCGCCGTAGCCTTAATCTCGTAGGTGGTAACTCATCCACGACTTCTGAGTCCCTACCCTGCCCACGCGGTCCGCCTACCAGGTTTACGATCCTCGAACGCTTGCAACGAGTCGGTATATTCAAGGAGGCCACCCGAATACAAGCGATATCGAATCGAATCAGCAGTAGGAAGCAGAACGGCGACTCTAGCTGTAGCCAAGCCGCTCGCGCCTACCCTCAAGCTACCAGAGTGAGTGAGCGCACATGCCTGCCTCAAGCTCCAATGGCTAATTTTCTAGCCTCTCCGGTGAAACCATCGCTGTTCAGGTTGGTAATGAAGTCGTTCACGTACACGAATTTCACACTCGTATCACCGAGAGTCTGCTGTCCTCAAGAGCAATGTGGCGGAGCAGAAGGATGGCGAGATGAATTCTGAACTTGTAGGTCGGGACCAGATGGATATCTCGGAGGCTTGAAAGGAGCACATATGTATACCATACTCAGCTGCGCGACAAGGCTTTCAATAACTACATGCTGATGAGGGTACTTGAGGACATCCGTTAATGGGATGTGTACGCGCTTGATAGACCTACGCAAATGCAATGTTAAGATGAGACTACCGGATGGCCAATCAAAAAATTAACATATTATCAGTTCACCTTCACTTAGGCGAGAAACAGTTCGCATCACCCAGGTGAAGGCGCATTATTTATTAGCGAGCGAAACTGGGAGCACTCCTCTAAGCTTTCCCATCTACCACTCTCTTCAGTTCACAGACTTTACCGTCCCTATATCCAACGAGATGTCGACAGCAACAGCCACCACTTGCAGCACTGCTACAATTGTTCTAGTGGCGCCACCCGAGGACTTTTCGTCCCTGTCAGGCTCGGCGGCAACAAGACCTCAATACTGCGTGTACACACCACCGTGCTGGTCAAAAGTTCCGAATTTCTGAAGAACGCCATAAAACCGGGATGGCGCACTGATGCTACGAACCCATCGATATCTTCGACTTCGAGCTTACGATCTTCGAGGCATATTGCGGATGGCTATACGCTGGGAAGATTGTACGTCACGAGGGCCATCACTTCGATCTCCTCGCTAAACTATATGTCCTGGGGGAAAAGCTGATGGATACTGCCTTCAAGGATGCCATCATCGCTGCCATCATCCGTTCATGCATTGACTACAATATGTATCCCGGAATTAAACCGACACAGACCATTTACGCCGGTACGTCTGCCAGTTCGCCTGTGCGACGTCTAATAGTAGACTTCTGGGTGTTCAATGCCGGACGAACATGGAAGGGGCTTTCGGATTTGATCGAGGGAACCTGTCCTGACTTCGTTAACGATCTGGTTCGCGAGCTCATTGTGAAACGAGACAGACCCGCCGACTTCGTACAGAGGCCATGGCTCGCGACTCCTGAATCTTACCACATGGATAGCGAGACCAAGTAAAGAAGCTCGTCTGTTCTGAGTTGTGCGGTCAGACACTAAAAGTTACTTGGTATACCTTGAATCAAGAGAGAGATACATGGGACATAGCGAATATTTTCACAGCATGATTTCCTCAGATACAAGTCGTGACATGAACAGTTGGGGCTGGACGACATATCACTGGATACGGCAGAAAAGCAAGAAGGAGATTGAGTTGACAGGAAATAGGTATCTTCTCACTTACTATCTACCATAATTCATCACTCAATACTACCGCCGAAGCAACGATATCATACAGTTGAAAACGCCGAACATTCTACCCTTGTGACTGATTGACCGCTTTGCGTGCTCCTAAACTCCAATTCGTATACTTAAGCAATAGTCGTCTAGAAACCAAAGCCACCAGGGAAGCCGCCGGGAAATCCGCCACCCTGCTGGAACTTGAAGCTGCCACCACCGCCAGGGAAACCACCGCCTTGTCTGAACATGAACTGCTGGCCTCCGAACGGCGAGCCCTGGAAGGGATGGCCTTGTTGCTGCTCGTTGTTGTTGGGGTCGTCACCGCGGTCAAAACGTTCCTTGAGTTCAGGGTCGGAGAGGACTTCGTAGGCTTCGTTGACGGCAGCCATCTTCTTCTGCGCATCCTCAGGAGTCATATTGTTGGCTGAAGCCTTATCAGGGTGGTAGACCTTGCTCAACTTGCGGTATGCCTTCTTGATCTCGCGTTCATCTGCATCACGCGTTACGCCGAGGACCTTGTAGTAGTCCTTTGTCTTCGACCGCTTGAGCAGTGTATGTGCCTTGTTGTGCAGCTCATCTAGCTTCTGGCTTTGGTGGTGTTCTTTGGCATGGTCTAATGTACGAACACAGTCTTCAAACTCGTCGGCTTCGAGCTGGCCTTGGGCCTTGTGGATAAGACCATGTAGCGAGTTGGGGTTGAGCTGTAGAGCTTCGGTACAGTATGGCGTGCCCTTCTTCAGGTTGTTCATCTCGACGTAGGCTTCACAGGTCATCTCTACAAGGGTTTGGTAAAGACCGTTGGGTGAGTTGGCATAAATGTAGCCTTGTTCGGTGTAGTCCTTGAAATCTTGCTTGACCTCCTTCAGTAGACCCGGGTCTTCTTCGCCACGGTCGATGAGGAGTTTCGAGGCAGTGGCGAACTGGCGCTTCTCGAAGAACTTGCGAACCTTTTGGATGTCCTTGTCGAGGTTCTTTTCTCTCCTGCGCAGCTTCATGCAAGCCTTCGAGTCGGGATCCGATTGGAGACATTGTGCGATGTGCTTGAGACCCTTGTCGGTTTCACCCAGCGAGTAGAAAGCCATGGCGGAGCTCTGGAGATGGGGTACTATGTCGCCGGTGTTGATCTGGAGGAGATGTTGTAAGTCACTGATGCCTTCAACAACCTCGCCCTTCTCGAAGCGACAGCGTGCTCTTGTCTTGCGAATGTCGTATGCGCCACCTGCGACTACAATGGCGGTGCCTGCATTTGAAATGCACGAATCCCAATCACCCTTATCCGCCGCTTCTTGTGCCACGATAGCAGCGCCCTGTGCTTCTTCCAGCTGGGCGATCTCATCCGTCTTGCCGGCAGCTTCATAGTCTTTCCGTGCTGCAGCCCAGTCGGCCTTTCTGGCTCTGATCTTGGCTCTCTGCACCAACGCGCCCTCGAAGCCAGGCTTCAGTTCCAGCACCTTGTCGAAGTCATGCTGCGCTTGTGCTGTTCTTCCAATTTGCAGGTAAGCGGCGCCGCGCCTAAAGTAGGTGAGGTAGTTGCGCGGATCGCGGGTGATGGCAGCGTCGAAGTAGAGGAGAGCGTCTTGGGTGTTGCCAGTAGCGAGTTGAACACCGGCGTCCTTGATCAGCTGCGATACGGGAGTATCCGCGGGAATGTCCGAAGCAGAGAGTGCGCTTGCGAGCGGGAGCAGCCCGAGGGCAATGGAGGAGAGTCGGAGTATCATGGCGGATTGGCGTTGGGGTTGCTATGAATGAGTGACGGTAGGTTGGATGGTGGTGAGGACGTATAAGAGTCCGCGCAGAGAGGCAGCGGCAAATGCGACGGTCAGTTCATGGAAGGAGCGAGTCGTGTCTTTATTTGGTCTTTCACTTAAACAATTGCAACTTGTCCTCAGCGACGCATGATAGCCGGGGCGGCGCACTGGCCACCCGAACATTGGAGCCCCAGACGCTAATGCGGGCAGGGGCATGGATGATGACGCGCCCGTGAACGCCGCCGCCGCTACGCCATCAGGACTAGAGAGACGCATACCTCATATCTAGCTCCCCTTCACGCTCGCCTGGCGCACCTTTTCCCATTCCCTCTCTTTCACTCCCCGCAAATATCTTCGCCAGCCATGTCTTCTATTCGACTACGCATCGACGGTCGCATATTCCGCGATCCTCAGAACCGCGAAGTCACCCTGCACGGCATCAACTGCGCGGCAGACGCCAAATTCCCTGCAAAGCCAGATCAACCATCACACATACCAGACAACTTCTTCGAAGGCGATAATGTTTCCTTCGTCAATCGGCCATTTTCCCTAGAAGACTCGGCCACCCACTTCTCGCGTTTACGTAGTTGGGGCTACAACACCATTCGCTATGTCTTCACATGGGAAGCCATAGAGCACGCGGGACCAGGAAAGTACGACGAGGACTGGATAGATCACACTATCTGTCTACTGCGCAAGGCAAAAGAATATGGCTTCTACATCTTCATGGATCCCCACCAGGATGTCGTAGGTAGCATTCTAACACATTCAATTACCATCTCTCTAATACACCGCGTAGTGGTCACGATTCTCTGGAGGCTCTGGTGCGCCCATGTGGACTCTCTATGCTTGCGGGCTGGACCCCGAGCACTTCGCCGTTACCGAAGCCGCCCTCGTACACAACACATATCCCGATCCTGCCACATTCCCTAAGATGATCTGGACTACCAACTACACACGATTAGTAAATCAAGTCATGTGGACACTCTTTTTTGGTGGCAGGGATTTTGCGCCGAAGGCTATCATGGACGGCAAGAATATCCAGGATTATCTGCAGGAGCACTATATCGGAGCATGCGAGCATCTCGCCAAGCGGATACAACAGGCCGGTGACTTATGGCACGATCCAGTCATCGGATGGGAAAGCATGAATGAGCCCAACAGAGGCCTCATCAGCTACCAGGATATCACCCAGATCCCCAGCGAACAGAAACTACAAAAGGGTACTTCACCGACTGCTTGGCAGGCGATACTTACCGGATCGGGTAGAGCTTGCGAGATCGCGACTTGGGAGTTCGGTGGTTTGGGACCCTACAAGAGCGGTTCGGTATTGGTAGATCCCGAAGGCACAATAGCGTGGCTATCAAAAGATTACGACGACACCAAATACGGCTGGAAACGCGATCTGGGCTGGAAGTTGGGCGAGTGCTTGTGGGCGCAACACGGCGTCTGGGACCCAGCGACTGATACTGTTCTGAAGAAGGACTACTTCGGAATTGACCCTAAGAATGGAGCCAAGATTGATTACGAGTACTTTACGAACCACTACTGGCTACCGCACTACCGCGCGTACAGTAAGATGGTTAAGTCGATATTCCCAGACTCCCTGATGTTCTTCCAGCCTCCAGTACTGGAGATACCACCAACTGTCAAGGGCACAGAAGATGATGATCCTAACATGATCTTCTCACCGCATTTCTACGATGGAATTACTTTAATCACTAAGAAATGGTATGTTCTATCACACCGAACCCGGATACATTTCATCTAACCACGTATAGGAATCGCGTATGGAACGTCGACGTTTTTGGTGTTCTGCGAGGGAAATACTTAACGCCAGCGTTCGCTATCAAGATTGGAGAGAATGCCATTAGGAACTGCTTCTCACACCAGCTCAAGGCAATCCGCGACGAGGGTACAGAGTACATGGGAGTTCACCCTTGCATCTTCACAGAGATCGGCATTCCATATGACATGGACGATAAATACGCGTACAAGACTGGCAACTACAGCAGTCAGATAGCAGCGCTGGATGCGAACCATTTCGCTCTTGAAGACAGTAAAGCTAACGGTTTCGCATTGTGGACATATGTTGCAAATGTAAGTTTATGTTCTGTGCAAAGCTGAATCCTGGCTGATATATACAAGAACTGCCATTATTGGGGCGATCTTTGGAACGGTGAGGACCTGTCCATCTACTCAGTAGACGACAAAGCTGTACCAGCCGGTGCCTTCTCGCCAGCCGACTCTCGTGCATCACTAGACACCAATTCACCTACATACTCAAGGGCGCACTCGACCGACACCCTGAGCATCAGTCCGTCCAACCTGCAGAAGACCATCACGCCAGAACGAATGAGTTCCAAGAAGGATGAAGGCGATGTTCGTGGTCTACGCGCAGCAGAAGCTTTCATCCGCCCTACTCCTGTTGCAGTTCACGGAGACATCTCATCGTATGGGTTTGATCTCAAGAACTGCACGTTCAAGCTCGCGCTCGCTGCGCCAAGCTCGACAGCAGAAGAATTCCCTACGATCTGTTACCTCCCTGAGTTCCACTTTCCGTCGGGACAAACCAGCGTCGAAGTCAGCGGCGGCAAGTGGACCATCACATCTGAAGAGACAAATGGTGCATTGCAACAGACGCTGCGGTGGTGGCATGCAGAAGGCGATCAACTCATCACGGTCAAAGGTGTAGTACGAAAGGCAGGTAGCGCATTAGGCACGGAAGAGGACGAAGGATATCTTCAGCAGTGCCAGAAGCAGACTTGCGTTGTCATGTAATGTCTCGAGCTTCTGGCGGTTTTTGGTGTGGTGGGGGAATCGGACCAACGCACGGTGATGCAATGTCATCCGATGCTCAGGTCACGCAGTCAGCGCGGTTTTTTGTGCATATGATCCGTTTGGGTAAACATGAGCGTTGTACGACTTTCTGATCTTGTCACGGCGTTTTGGGGCATCTACGGTAGTGTTGAGCGTGTATATAGCGATATTCGATGAAGACTAGTTGGGAAGCGACGAGCCTAGTTCTGGCGG